TCCGAAGCACGCACGGCGCTGGGCGCAGCGTGAACCGAGTGCTCGGCCTGCCCGGCCGCGTTATGACGTGCGGACAGCTGACTGAGAAGGCCCTTCCTGGCTCCGCCCTGAGGACCCCGCCAGCTGACCCTAACCGTGCCCTGCCCTGTGCCCGGGCGTCTGGCGGGAGAGACCGAGGCTCGAGGTGGGGCGTGGCCTGCCCGAGGCTGCACAGCGCGAGGGCAGAAGCCCAAGCCCCGCCCACTGCAGACACCGCCTTCGCGACCGGGCCTCCCTGGGGCTCCAGCTCCTGCTCAGCCCAAGGCTCCCTGTCCCTGGGCCTCAGTTTCCCTGTCTGCAGCAAGAGGTCGGACCACTGCATGAGTCCCGAGGGTCCTTCCCACACCCATTCTGGACCCTCATTCTGTCCCCGAATGACCCAGAGATGCGGCAGGCCTGGGGCCTGCCCTGGAGACACTCAGCGTCCAGGGAGGAGACAGGTCTGTCTCAGCACGCAGGACAGGGCCTGGCAGCCAGCAGACCGCGGAGGGCCGCCCATTACGGCAAGTCCTTGAGCGACGCTGTTTGCTCAGCGTTTCATTGTAACGTGGATGAGGAAAACAACTGACCTCGGGCCAGGGCCACGGTCTATGAGGAGCTACACGTTCTCCTGTCTACGTGGGTTTTCTGGCTTCCTCCTACATCCTACGCTGTGCCCGTCAGGTGGCGAGTGTGTGTGGTGTCCACGTGTGCCCGCCATGGGATGGCACCCTGGCCAGGGCCAGTTCCCACCTCCCACTCCTGGGACAGGCTCCAGCCGCTCCAGACCTTGAGCTGGAACAACTGGGTAAACAATTGTCTTGTTTTCTTTCTTTTTTTTTTTTGAGATGGAGTCTCACTCCGTCGCCCAGATTGGAGTGCAGTGGCCGCTCCCGGTCACCGCAGCCTCGACCTGCTGGGCTCCGGCGATCCTTCCGCCTCAGCCTTCCGAGTAGCCGGAACTACAGGCGTGCGCTACCACGCCCGGCTGATTTTCTGATTTATTGCAGAGATGAGGGCTCGCCAAGTTGCCCAGGCGGGTCTCGAACCCGCGGGGTCAGGCCATCCAGCACCTCGGCCTCCCCAGGTGCGGGATGACAGGCCGAGCCGCCGAGCCCAGACAGTTGTCTTGTTTCATTCACCTTCTTTCAGCGTACACACAGCTCATACTTCTCTCAACACTGTCTATGCGAAGTGCTTTGGGTCCTTATCTAGAAGTCTGGCGATGGGTCTGTGACCACGCCCACTTGCCATCAGGAGACTGCCAGGGAAGAGGCCAGGAGGCTGGAGTTCTCGTTCCAGTTGGCTTGCCAGGGGTGCCAGGCACCTTAAAGGCCCCCCGGGCCTCACCTTCCCCATGAACAAATCAACGCCACCAATGGCCAGCACCATGCCACCTCCCACTCTCCCACCCAGCACTGGCCCTCCGGCAGCAGCGCTGAGGCTGGGCCTCCATGCACCCCCTGCCCAGTGGGCAATGGGCTGGGTGCTCTCCGGGGCTCCAGCTCCAAAGGAGCACACGCCAGCCCACATGGCACTTCTCACCGCCTGCTCTGTTTTACTACAGAGACTCACTCTGCACCTGAGACGTCAAGCCGAAAGCCGGACAGCCCCTCTGCAAACCTGGTGATGCCCAGCTAAGAGGGTAAGAGGGCAGACTGTGGGTGCACCTGCCGCTCAGGCCCAGCTGAGCCGACGGCCACGGACCCGCAGCTCCCTCACTCCCTCTGCCTGGCCCTGCCACAGCTGTCGAGGGGCCCGGGGTGGCTGCCCTTCCCCTCCACGTCCCTTGTCACGTCTGGACAAAAGGGGTGCCGGTACAGGCGTGAGCTAGGAAGGATGCAGAAGTCCGGGCGGCACGGAATGCCATGCTCGCCCGAGAGACTCTCCCTAGGGCCTGGCTGCGGGGCAGGGCACTCGCCGCGTGAACTGGGGCCCATCCCCCGGCTTGGCTACTGTCTGGCTGTGTGGTCACCTCCCTGAGCTTCTGCTTCCCCACCTGTGAAATGAGCCGATGGTGGTGCTGGGTAGCCTGACCGAGTGCTCACTCCACGCGTTGAGCGCTTCGCACAGGAACTCATCTACTTTCCACGGCACCTTGGGGAAGGTGCCCTCCTCCCCATCCTGCAGGCGAGCTACGGCATGGAGAGGTTGGGTCACCCGGCTGGCAAGGCAGGGGGAGGCTGGCGCTCAAAGCCGAGCTGGGGGCGCTGGAGCCCAAGCGCTCGCCCCCGCCCAGCGCCTCCCTCACAAACACGTGACGGTACCACTCCCAGGGTGGCACGGAGCCTCCCGGGTTGGCCCCAGGCCTGGAGCAGGACGTCCTCGGCCAGTGCTGGCTGCGATGAATTAAACCAATTCAAGGGCCGGCCCGGAGGAGCCCTGCCCTGAACACCAGGGCCTGGCTGAGCAGCCAGGGCGGCCCCAGGAGAGCCTTCCTTCAGATCTGCCCGGGAGTCCTGCTGGGCTGGGGTGGGCGCGCCAGATCTGCCCTGGTTTATGCCCAAGGCGGCAGGGTGGGTGCGTTCACTCCTGCCTCTGCCCCCACAGGGACCTGTGAGCCTGCCTGGGAGGTCCTGGATTAGGACTGGGCTTCGCTGCTTCCTGAGGAGACCCCCTTCCTCAGCCCCACCGGGAGAGCAGAGCTGTGGCTCCAAGACAAAGCCCCTTCCCCAGGCCTCAGCCGGCACACGGGCCGGGCAGGGTGCAAGGTCACGCCTCCCAAGTCGGCCCCATCCACAAGTCTGACAGCTGGTCCTCACCAGAACGCCCCCAGTCCCCAAGCACGTTGCAGGATGGCAGCTTTTACTCCTGGCCCAGCGCCTTCTAAGCAGCATCCTGAGTGAGGACACACCGGTTTGCATCCTCCACTCGGGCTGGGGGCTTTCTGCACGTCACTAGCCCTGTCTAGACCTCAGTTTCTGCACCTGTAAAATGGGGCCCAGCCCGCCCTTCCCTTAGAGTGCTGGGAGGTGCCACAGGGGGGCCCCACCCAGGCCTGGCCCGGGTCAGCTCAGCCGATCAGCCTTCATCGGCC